GGGATATTTCGTTCCAGGAGAGGAGGTGCATGAAAAAAGAATATTTGCAAGTTGTTCTTGCTTTATACTTTTATTTCTTTAAGGAGATATGCCTGAGATACAGTTTTAAAAAGACTTATACAATATTTTCCTTGTAAGAGCTTAGCAGCTCTCTTGGTTAATAGAGATCTATTATTCTCTCTCAGAAGTGCCATGGAAACACTTGAAAACTATTTCTATGTGTGAAACAATTACCTGTTACTTAGAAAATTGACAGAGCTTGAATTTAGGGGCAAGACAGAATTATTTATCCAGTAAGCAGAAGTTACAAGGTGGCAGATTTCAATGTCAGAGGCCACTTCTTATTAGCTGAATATCCTGTGTGTTTTCATATTTCTGTTTTTGTTTAAATTGCTTGTTTCCTTTGCTTGGAATGCCATTCTTTTATACCTGGTAAATTTTTTTCTTTTTTTTTTTTTTTTGGTGACACAGTCTCACTCTGTCACTCAGGCTGAAGTGCAGTGGCACAGTCTTGACCCACTGCAACCTCTGCCTCCCATGTTCAAGCGATTCTCCTGTCCCAGCCTCACAGGTAACAGGGACTACAGATGCGTGCCACCATGCCTGACTGATTTTTTTATTTTTGGTAGAGATGGGGTTTCATCATGTTGGCCAGGCTGGTCTCGAACTCCTGACCTCCACTGATCCACTTGCCTCGTCCTCCCAAAGTGCTGGTATTACAGGTGTGAGCCACTGGTGCCTGGCCCTGGCGAATATTTGTATTCTTCAACGCCAACTCCTGCTTGATCCCATTTGATCCAAATACAACTAATATTCTCTTATCTTTGTTCACTTATCACTTTGTATATTTATATAACGTATCAAATTATTTTAGTAATGTGTAGACGTGTGTCTTCCCCACTAAACAGAGAACTTCTTAAGGATAGCTGTGTGAGCCAATCATCTTTTATCCCTAACAGCTAATTTAATACATGCTTCAAAAGAGATATTCATTTAGCCATTTATTCATTAATTTGTCAAATAGTTGTTGAGTTCCCACTGTGTGTTAGGTTGAGGGGCAGAGTAGGGAACCAACAGAAAAGATTTCTGCTTTATGGAGCTTACATTTTGTTGACCTTATCAAATAACCAGATTCTCCTTTTCTAATACAGTAGTATTTTTAAGGTATTAGTTTTTCTCAAAGCCCTGCTTTAGCTGCATCCCATGTGTTTTGCTATGTTTTATTTTCATTATCATTTGATCAAAATATTTTCTAATTTCTCCTGATATCTTCTTTGATCCAATGATTATTTACACATGTATTGCTTCATTTCCAAATATTTGTAGTTGGTTTCTAACAATGTCATGGTCAGAGAACATACTCTTTCAATCTTTAAATTTATTCAGATCTGTTTTATGACCCAGAATATGATGTGCCCTATAAATATAAATATGCACTGCCATTGTTAGCTGTGGTTTTTTCTACATATCAATTAAGTCAATGTGATTTGTAGTGTTGTTCAAATATTCTATATCTGTACTGGTTTTTTGTTTGTTTAAGATAGAGTCTTATTCTGTTTTCGAGGCTGGAGTGCAGTGGCATGATCACAGTTCATTGTAGCCTGGATCTCCTAGGCTCAAGTGATCCTCCTACCTCAGCCTCCCAAGCATCTGGGACTAGCCTGGCTAATTTTTAAATTCTTTATAGGGATGAGATCTTGCTATACTGTCTAAACTTTTAATGATTTTTTTTATTAGTTATTCTATTAGTTGCTGAGAGAATGACATTAAAATCTGCAGGAAAAATTATAGAATTGTCTGTTTCTAACTTTAATTCTGTCAGTTTTGTTTTATGTATCTTAAACCTCTATTATTAGGCACATATGTTTATGATTGCAGGATTTTTCTGATAATTGACCCTTTTTTCATTATGAAATAGCCCTTTTTATTTCTGGTAATACATTTTATTTGACATTTTATTTTGTTTGACATCTATTTTATCTGATTAATATTGCCATCCAGACTTTTTATGGTTACTGTTTCCATGGTACATATTTTTTCCATTCATATGCTTTTAACCTATCTGTGTCTTCGTACTTAAAGTGTATCTCTTGTAGTCGGCAGGTAGTTGAGTTTTGCTTTTTTTTTAAAGAAAAATTATTCTGACATCCTCTGCCTTTTAATTGGTGTGTTTAATGAAATGATTGCTTTAATGTAGCATGTAATATAATTGTTGCTATATTGGGTTTGAGTTTAGCATTTTATTTTTTTTACATGTCTCTCTTTTTTGTACCTTTCTTAACTCTTTTCCTTCCTTCTTTTGAATTATTTGACTATAGAATTTCATTTTAAATTTTCTGTTGGCTTTTTAGCTACACTCCTTTGTGTTATTCTTTAGTCATTTGTGAGGGATTACAATATACATCTATGACTTTTCCACTACAGTTAATACTAACCCCTTACAGTTCATAATAACCACTTACATGAGATCTATTGTACAACATTGTGATTATAGTTAATAACATGTATGTATTCTTGAGAACCACTAAGTGAGTAGATTTTAAGTGTTCTCACCACAAAAATAAGTATGTGAGGTAATGCGTGTGTTAATTAGCTCATTTTAGCCATTCCACAATGTATGTATATATTTTAAAACATGTTATACACAATAAATATATACAATTTCTGTCAAAATAAAATAAAAACCACTTATAGTTAATGACATATGCTTTATATTAAATATTGAAATCTTATAACTTGTAGAACCGTATTTACCCCATCTTTTATGCTATGGTAGTCATATGTATTACATAAAAATACATTATAAGCCCTATAAGACAATATTATAATTTCTGCCTTTAAAAGCTTGAAGGTTCAAGGCCAGGTGCAGTGGCCCATACCTGTAATCCCAGCACTTTGGGAGGATGAAGCAGGATCACCTGAGGCCAGGAGTTCAAGATCAGTCTGGGCAACACAGTGAGATCCTGCCTCTACAAAAAATTAAAAAATTAACCAGGCATGGTGGGGTGTGCCTGTAGTCCCAGATCCTCAGAAGGCTGAGGTGGGAGGATCATTTGAGCCTAGGAGGTGGAGGCTGCAGGATTGCACCACTATAATCCAGCCTGGGCCATGGAGTAAGACTGTCTCAAAAGAAAAGAAAAAAAGACTAATATTTCATAATAACATAAAAGGAAAGTGGAAAAAGGAAAAAAGTGAGTTTTTGAGCTGATTCAGGTACTTATCATTTCCAGTGCTTTCCATTTTTTTGTGAGGATCTGAATTTGTATCTTATACAATTTCTCTTTAGCCTGAAGAACTTTCAATAGCATTTCTTGCAGTGAAGGTCTTTTGGTGATTAATTCTTTCTGGTTTTGTTATTCTGAAAAGTCTTTATTTTGCTTGCTTTCTTGGGAGGTATTTGCTGGATGTAAAATTCTGCATTAAGCTTTTCCTCACCCTGTACTTTAAAGGCGTAGTTCCACTCTCTTCTGTCTCTAGTTTATGATAAGTCAGCTGTTAATCAGACTGCAGTTCTCTTGTATTTCACATGCCATTTTTCTCTTGCTGCTTTTGGTGTTTGTTCTTTATCTTTGGTTTTCAACAGTTTGACTATAATGTACCTTGAGGTGGGCTGTTTTGCATTTATTTTGCTTAGTCTTTGATTAATCTTTTGTAATTGTGTGTGTGTGTGTGTGTGTGTGTGTGTGTGTGTATATATATATATATATATATATATATACATTTTTCTTTTTTAATTATTATATTTTTGAGATAGAGTCTCTCTCTGTTGCCCAGACTGGAGTGCAGTGATGCAGTCTTGGCTCATTACAACCTCTGCCTCCTGGGTTCAAGTGATGCTCCCACCCCAGCCTCTCAAGTAGCTGGAACTATAGGCATGCACCACCACACCCAGCTGATTTTTGAATTTTTAGTAGAGATGGAGTTTCCCCATGTTGGCCAGGCTGGTCTCAAACACCTGACCTCAGGTGATCCGCTTGCCTCAGCCTCCCAAAGTGTTGGGATTATAGGTGTGAGCCACTGCATCCGGCCTGTAATTGTAAATTTTGTTAAATTTGTGCTATTTCAGCCATTTGTTTGTTTGTTTGTTTTTGTGTCACTGCACTTCAGCCTGGGCGACCCTGTCACCCAGGGTCTTGCTCTGTCACCCAGGCTGGAGTGCAGTGGTGCAATCTCTGCTTACTATAGCATCAACCTCTTGGGCCCTAAGAGACTGTCCCATCTCAGCCTCCTGAGTAACTAGGACTACAGGCACATATCACCACACCTGGCTAAATTTTTGGGATTTTTTTTGTAGAGGCAGAGTTTTGCCATGTTGCCTAGGGTGGTATTGAACTCCTGGGCTCAAGCAGTCTGCCCATCTCCACCTCCCAGAGGTCTCTGGTTGGAGCATGGTAAGTGAAGGGAAGAATGATGTAAAATGAGATTGGAGAAGCAAAGAAGATCATGGAGAACCTTGTGGACTCTGATAAGGACTTGGGAATTATGATTCTGTATAAGAAAATATGATTACCATAATTGTAAGGGTAGCTTGCCAAACTCTTATTGTTTTATGCTTCAGAGTCTTGACTGACGGATAGGGTGGCCTTGTGATTGTATAACCTACCTGTCAGTTAACATAGTTGGAACAGAAGCTGAAAGAACATGCAGAATGGGTTTCTGCAATGTGTGGGAAATCAAAGTAGACGTATTCTAACATCCTTTCTACTGCTAAGGTTCTCTGATACCGCTGAAAACAAGTTGGCCTGCATTAAAAAAGTATAATTAAAACCACACTTTAAAATGAAGACCGCAAATGTAGAGAATGAAAAGATCGTTGTAGAATTAAGAGTTGTAGTTACACACAGTAAAAGATTTCGCATGATTTCTGCAGAAGGACAGTATCTTTAGTCCGTAAATGTTACTATGTTAAAACAATGGACTTAAAACAATGTGCCAGAGTATGTTTATAGGTCTGATTTCTGGGGAGCATCTAAAACTCACTCGTCCTTTCTTTGGTTTAGATGACAGCGCGTCTGCTGCAAGCAGCATGGAGGTGACGGACCGCATTGCTTCACTGGAGCAGAGAGTTCAGATGCAGGAAGACGACATCCAGCTGCTCAAATCAGCTCTAGCTGATGTGGTTCGGCGGCTGAACATCACTGAGGAACAGCAGGCTGTGCTTAATAGGAAAGGACCTACCAAAGGTGGGCATTGGAGTTACACAGGAACTTTAGTAGAGTAGGTCTCATGGCAGAATTTTGCTCTGGCACACACATTGTGCTCTTTAATATTGAGGAGAATCAAAACTTAGAATAACATTAAAACAATCTTACCACTGTCAACAGAATCACACAACGTATAATAGTATGTTGGGGCTTGATGTTGGTGAATTGTATAGCCCAGTGATACACGTTTATAGGTGATCCTTAAATGCTTATTGAATCAAGGAAGGAACAGTCCAAATGGACTGCTGAGAGCAGGTGTTTATCAAGATTCTCTGTGATGGAGAGAGCTTACAGAAAGAACCACAGTCCTTCTGGCCGTTTTTGGAGGTTGTTCCACCTAGCTTTTTTTTTTTTTTTTTTTTTTTTAAACTCTCATCTCTTTGCCTGTGCTTAGCTTATACTGTCATTCAGTTCAGCACAGCAACACTTGATCACAGGCCGCATTCAAAGCTCTGAACCAAGCCCTGGGGGTGCAGAGGTGGTGGGCCTCCCTTTGAGGAGCTCAGAATCCTCAGTTATCACTAGCTTTTCCCATCTTCTAGCTGCAAATCAAGCCCCTCCCCTGCAAAGCCCACTGTTCCTTTTGAATCTCCTCTGGGGTCCACAAGGACATCACGTGGTACAGAGCTCTGTCCCTGGTAGATTTCTGGCAAATTTAAGTCATCATTTCATGTCCCAGTGGCTCTTGGGAATGAGACATTAAAAGGCAATATTTGTGTTCAGTAATTTTGGCATTATCCTCTTGGAAGATCATGGACTTAGACAATTAGACAATTTTGGAAATAAAACACCTCAAAAAATTTCTGTCCTGCTATCTGGTGCCCTCATGTCTACCATAAATTTGTGCAAGGCTCCTCTTTAGCCAGAATCACTCTTCCTTGTGGCTAACTGTAGAAAAGAGAATTTGTCTTGGCTCTAAGATGCCTTTGGCTAAAACATTTTTTTTCAGATGACAACATTTAGATGTTCCTTTAAAAATACCTTTCATTGGCTGGGCACAGTGGCACATGCCTGTAATCCCAGCACTTTGGAAGGCTAAGGCGGGAGAAACAATTGAGTCCAGGAGTTCAAGACCAGTCTAGGCAACATAGTGAGACCTCATCCCTAAAAAAAATTTAAAAATTAGCTGGGTGTGGTGGCACATGCCTGTGGTTCCAACCACTCAGGAGGCTGAGGTAGGAGGATTGCTTGAGCCCAGGAAGTTAAGACTGCAGAGAGCACCACTGCACTCCAGCCTGGTGACAAAGCAAGACCTCATCTCAAAACAAAAACAAACAAAAAGACCACCTTTCATTGTTATTTCAGTTTAACAAATTATTTCACAGTTAATGTGTATTTCTTTGGAGTCAGGAGGGAGGTCTGTCTAAGGTTGCATCTTTGAGGCTTTTTATCAAGTACTTGGCTGCGTTTTCACACGTCCGTGGGAAGAAATCCATTTCTTTATTGTCCCAGATAGTTACCACCAGCTCCATATGAGATGGCTACACCTGTTGGGCTGATGTCTGCATTTTAAATAATCATTTTAAGTAATCTTTTTTCCTCCTGAGTTACAAAGTGATTTGAGTATTTTAAATAGAAATTGCATTATTTCAAGTACTCCTTACCTACCCAGCTTTTCAAAAATGAGTCTGATGACTGCTGTGTCCGAAAGAGTACATTTGAAGGAGCTGCTTTATATAAAATTTCAGACTTCTGAAACTTCCTTATTTTTAGAAAATTAGGTGAAAAAAATAACAGGACATGTCCAAGAGTTTTGTTTTTTTGATTAAGAATGACGTTTGATGGCTGGGCGTGGTGGCTCATGCTTGTAAACTCAGCACTTTGGGAGGCCAAGGCGGGTAGATCATGAGGTCAGGAGTTGAAGACCAGCCTGGCCAAGATGGTGAAACCCTGTCTCTACTAAAAATCCAAAAATTAGCTGGGCATGATGGCGGACGCCTGTAGTCCCAGCTACTCGGGAGGCTAAGGCAGGGAATTGGTTGAACCTGGGAGGTGGAGGTTGCAGTGAACCAAGATCACACCACTGCACCTCAGCCTGGGCGAGAGTGCAGTCTCAAAAAAAAGCGAGACTCTGTCTCAAAAAAAAAAAAAAAAAAAGAATAACATTTGATTTTCATAACTGCACAGATAAGTAAATTTTTTCATAGTTATTTGATATTTCTTTATAAACATTCTTTTCCTAACTAAAGTAAATCAAAGCTTACTTGCCAGACGGTCACACCAAGAAGGAGAAAAAAAGATTCATAAGAAGGCAGGTGAGTGGGTTGCATCCCTTGGATGAAGGGACCTTGGGCTCCCTACTTTCTGTGCAGCTAATTAAAGGACAGTGGAAACGGGCAGGAGGGGTGTGCCTGTGGAGGGGCATGCCTGTGAGAGGGGTGTGCCCGCAGGATGAGTGTGCCTGCAGCAGCTGCTCTGGCTGTAGTCATCTTTGAGGGAGCTGTCATGTGGGCACTGTGGGAACTGGCGCCTGCATCTCTGTCTTTAGAGCTGGCTCTCTGTGGTCATGGTAGGGGCGGGGAATCTTTTAGGCAAGATGGATTTTAGGCAAAGCCCCTTTAGTTTTAAGTGGCTACACAGTTATCACTTCACAATATTTTGGCCTGCCATCCTCATATAGACTTGAAGTAGCCTGGACACATGACATTCTTATTTTTATTTTGAGACAGGATCTTGCTTTGTCGCCCAAGCTGGAGTGCAGTGGCGTGATCTTGGCTTGCTGCAGCCTCCACCTCCTGGGGTCAAACAATTCTCCTCCCTCAGCTTCCTGAGTAGCTGGCGCTACAGGTGCGTGTCACCACACCTAGCTAATTTTTGGTATTTTTAGTAGAGACAGGATTTCACCTTGTTGGCCAGGCTGGTCTTGAACTCCTGACCTCAGGTGATCCACCTGCTTCAGCCTCCCAGAGTGTTGAGATTACTGGCATGAGGCACCACATCAGACTTGAAATGAGGCACCACATCAGACTTGAATTCTTATTTTTAGCTATCAAGTGATTTTTTTTCCCCCTAGAGTTAGTTTTTTTTTTTGTTTGTTTGTTTGTTTTTTCAGCTGAAGTCTTGCTCTTTCTCCAGGCTGGAGTGCAGTTGTGTGATCTTGGCTCACTGCAACCTCCGTCTCCTGGACTCAAGCGATTCCACTGCCTCAGCCTCCTGAGTAGCTGGGACTATAGGCAGGCACCACCACACCCATCTAATTTTTTGTATTTTAGTAGAGATGGGGTTTTATTATGGCCAGGATGGTCTCGATCTCCTGACCTCATGATCTGCCCACCTCAGCCTCCCAAAGTGTTGGAATTACAGGCGTGAGCCACTGCACCCATCCTAGAGTTTGCTTTTTTAAAGCTCAGGACTTACTCAGTATGTTGAGGTTTGGGTGTACAGCTTTGTGCTGTCTGCCCAATGCCCTAGGGATGGCTGTGACGCCAAGAAGCAGGCAGGTGCTCACTGGGGGTCCTGCTCAAAGTCAGGGTGGAAGGAGTGCATGTTTTTCTGCTGCCGAAGCCTCTACCTAGTTTTTAGACTGCAGTCAACACTAGCCTCAGTAGTACCTGCAGTGCCATAGATAATCATTCTGATTCCTTTCCACAATAATACTAACCTCTAAGCTTCGACTGTATCATTCTTTACATGCCTGGACTAGTATAACAATGAGAACTTCAGGTTCATGGAAGTAATTCACTAACGACTAAGGTCAAGGCTTCCTGAAATGGGGTGAGATTGTGGCCCACTGTCATGTGCTGGGCCTGTGGACAGGTGGTCTGTAGAGAGGAGCTGTGACTTGTTCTCCTGTCCCTGTGGCTGGCCAGCTTGCACCAGTCACCCAGGTCTTCTTTCCCTGAAGTTACTGCCCTGGGTCTTAGGATTTCCTCAGTCTCTCTGTGAGCTCCCCAGACTGCTTTCTCCTTTTTCTTTGGTATTTTTTAAAATATGAAGAACAGGCTACCATGTCACACACCTTCACTGTGGTGACCCTCAGCCTGCAAAGCTGGCTTGGTTCATGTTGGATCTACTCTTGGGTAGAATGACTTGGAATGTTTCCACTTTGCTGAGCTTGGATTACCATGTAGCGGAGAAAAGAGAATCAGATAGTTCACGAAGGTGTATTAAAATTCTTGCTAATACTAAAGTTTTTCAGTTGTGGTTGGAGTGGGGCAATACTCTGGCAGCAGAATATAGTGAACAGACCCCTTTGATATTGCTGTTTTGAGTGTAAATACAGAAAAGTGATGGCTGAATAAGGAATTCATTGCAGCACTGTGCACAATGGAGAAAAACTGGATAGGAAACAATAAGGGAGCAGCCGGCATCAGGGGCATGGCCGGGGATTATGCTGCCTCCATATGAGTAAATGCTGTGTAGCCTTTAACAATGTTTGTGTTACTGGTAAGAGAGAGAAAATGCCTATGCATTACATTGAGTCAAATGCAGGCTACAAAACTGTATATACTGTATCATTTCAATGAAATAGACAAAATATGCAAAGAAGACTGGAATGAAGTACTGTGTAGCAAAAGTAATTTACAGGTTTTTTTCCTGAGTAATAGGATTATGAATTTTTAAATGCTTTTAGTTAGTTTCTAAATGTTCTGTGGTGTGTATTTCTTAATAAGCAGAAGAAATTTGTGTTTTAAAAATGACTTATTTCTTTCCATTGAATCTGAGGTCAGCAGCAAGGCTCATGGCATATGTCAAGTGTTTTCAAGAAGACAAGGAACTGTGGTTTGGAATTCAATCAACCTATTGTATACATATGCAGCTGATTTTCATCTTAGTGCAGGGATTTTTTAAATGTAAAATGTAGATTAAAATATTGTCATTGTGCCATGTATCTGGGATTGTCTGTTTTGTTATGCATTAACCAATGAGTAGCCCATATTTCCCATTGGAAATTTTGCTTGTCTGTTCAGACTAGTTAAGCAGCTTCCCTTTTAAAGAACTTTAATATGAAATGCTTCAATATGCCTTTCCACCTTTTA